ACTATTTCAAGTCAACTCGAGTCAAGTCGAGTTTGAGTCGAGTTTAAATCGAGTCGAGTTAAATATTTAACTCGACTTGAATTTGATTTGACTCGCAAATCATCGAGTCAAAAAAATATAAACTCAACTCGATTTAAACTCGACTCAGCTTATCTGACTCGTGAGTTAACTCGACTCATCCGGAACTCTAATGACAGTATAGCCGAATGTTCTAAGAATACCAGTAAAAATAAAAAAAATAATTTTGATGGAATTGATGAAATGATAGTGAATTTTATTGACATTAAACTTTTAGAGTTATACAATGATATACTTAATTTTTTTTTTTAAAGGATGATGATCGACAAGAGCAAAATATAAAGGATAATGATCAGCAAGAACAAGAAGTTGTTAATACTAGTTTTTCAGTCGATGAAGATAAAGCATTAGATTATACTATTGAAGTTGAAGAGTTTACTTTTGAACATCATGATTATAATTTACATGTCTCTAAATCAGATCAAATATCATCAATCGATATGAGATCTATTTTAATCTAAAAGCTTTCACAATTTTCAGATATCGTTTATTTCAAATTTATAAAACTCATATCAACCTATCACCTTTTCGATTCAGCTAGAAATGATATATTGAATTAGTTTTGTAGGCATCATCTTCAGGAAAATATCATTTTACTAATAAACACAACACAAGGGCGTAAATTCATTAATTCAATGAATGTTGATCATTTATTTTACCTCAAAACAAAAATACTAATATATGAAGATAAGAAATATTACCTTCTTCATCGTTCTTAAAGTACTATCAATGAAATTTTTCAGCAAAATATAATGTCAATGATGATGAAAATCATGAATGTGTATACAGAAAATAATGGACTAGGCAGTAGTGGAAACGTGCTTAATAAACAATCAGAACTGGATTAAAAAAGGTTTTATCAATCATTCTCTATTCTGATGCTACAACATTAGATCATCTTGGCAAAAGTTTTGAGTATCCTATTTATTTATCATTAGGAAATATACTAAATTGGCGAAGAAATAAGCATGATACTAAAGTATTATTAGGATTCTTACTAAAGCTGAAATAATTACATAATCACAAGGATAATAGGAATGGTTTTGCATATATTAAAAGAATGCTATATCAATACTGTTTTGATGTCATGATACAACCAATATTTGAAAAATTAAAAAATAATAGTTTGAATATTATTACTGATAATCGAATAATTTGGATATTTCCATTTCTTTTTGAATTTATTAGTGATTTACCTGAAAGTACAGCATTAACTCTAACTTATAATTCTTCTTGATGTAAGCGTCCTTGTCATATTTGTACTATAACCATTGATCAATTAAATAATACTGATTTATTACCATCTCAAATGGAGTTACAAATACCTGATAATATGAGATTTGTTTTGAATCATAATCTTGATTACGAATATTTTATTCATCTAACACAAAATATTTTTTGGAAATTTCGGTAAGTAATTATATTAATGATTCATATTTTGCTATCATTCTATTTTGAATTATTTCTAATAACTTTATAGTGGAATGAACATTTATAGTACAACAGTTTTAAATTACATGCATCATTGTAATCTAGGATTATTTAATTATTAGGTTAATTTTACTCAAAATTATATTCAACTATATTGTAGACAAAAAGGTATTGATGAATTTGACCAGCGTTTAGCAGCAATTCCACGCTTTCCTGAATTAAAATCTTTTAAATATAGTCTTGGTAATATTGCAAAATTTACCGTAGCAGAATTCTGAAGTATGATGAAATAATTTGTTTTTGTTATTGATGGATTGATTATTGAAAAACATAAACTATGTTTAAATTTAAGATAAGCAAAAGAAAATGATAAAAAACTTGTTGATTTATTTGTATCTTAGAACAAAATGTATATTTTTAGTCGAAAGGATACTTTTACAGATTCTGAACTCATTAAATTTTAGGTAAATTTCATTGATGATTGATTATATAAATAAAATTTTAACTTTTAATTTTGTTACTTTAAGATATAATTACAGATTAGACAAGAAAATTTATTATATTATTTACACTAATTGTAAATACTGAAATGAAATATCCAAAATTACATAATTAATGTCATCATATTATGAATAGCATACAAGAATATGGTGCTATTAATGGATTTACAACAGAAACATATAAATCATTACACAAATTTTGTATCAAGATATCATACTGAATGAGTAATCATAAAAATATTACTTTACAAATAATCAACACAGTATAATATTTTTTACAATAATGATTTATGAAAATTAACATTTATTTATTTAATTATTTAAATATTCATTTAGATACGACGTGATAATATTCTTAGTTATCTTTAGAAAATAATACAATCATTATCCATTAAAAAATAACAACATCGAACTTCAATATTAGGTAGTATTAAAGGTAGTTTTATATTAACTACTTTTGATACATTTATTAATACATACAAAGTTACACATCATTTAGCTTCAGAAGCCAAAATAATATTTGATATGTTGATTAATTCATTAAACCAATATTTTGATTTTATTGAAGATATTACTAAAGATAATGTTAAGACAACTCTTGTTAAATGGTATATAAATGCAATAATTAGAGAAACAGATATTATACGTGCTAAAAGTAACTATTATAGTTCACTTACTTTTAGTAATATTACAATTAATATGAATGAAAAGGAGACTCAAAATTATAATACATTTGATAGTACATGTTTCGCTAAGGTAAATTTATATAATATTTTTTATTTAATTTGATCGAATACAATAATAATTAATACTGATTTATATTTTTAAACTATAATAAAAAGCTTTTAATATTATTTAATCTAAAGATTCCCAGTCATAAAGAACAACATTTGGCATTGATTCAATAGTATGACTTCAAATATAATAATCTATATAAATTATTCAAATATGATTATCCGTATATGAAAATTATTCAAATGTTTACTATCATAATAGTTGATTCTATTGTTAAACCAGTTCATATCATTCTACGATTTAGCAAATCTAATGAATATTTCGTAAATGTATTTATGTTTTAATAATATGTTTTTATATATAATTATTTGGATAAAAAAAAATAAAGATAAATAAATGTGATGTATTATCAAATAGTAGATAAATGCAATGATTATTATATAAGATAAATAAATACATAATACTTTTAACAATATAGATCAATATATCAAAATAGCAATGATCATCACAAAATTCATTGTGATATAATTATAGCTCTATAACAATATATTGAATTATGCTTGATTAATTTACTGATATTAGGTATCCTCTAGTTTCCCTCAATTCATACAAATACCCTTAATTAATTCTTCTTCCTTTATAGCGGCAGTTGCCTATGATACTCACTGATCAAATTTCTGGTCTGGCAATAACACGACTTTCCTTCTAGACATTTAATATCTATATTTTAGTTTAAATTAGTTTTTTTTCTCTTCTAATATATAGTTTAGTTCAGTAAAATACAAGGTTAGTATTGATAAAGTAGTTTAGCATACTAGATTAGTTTATAGATATTTTTGTATTTTCTGTTTTATTTTATTTTTTTGTAAATTCATAAATATTAATAAAG